GGAATGTCAATCAAGAAAGACTCACAGCAGATACACCACCGCCGATGATCACATACTTGAAGCTCTTCTCCGCCATTGATATTGTTATTGATTTTCTCCTTCTCTTTCTGAATACGTTGCGACTATTTCTGTGCTTCCTTCTTATCTTCTTATAGAAGAATTGCTATATGGAACCGCGAGAAATGGTTGTGTGACTGGTGAGGTTTTTAAGCTTTTTTAATTGTCTTGTTTAGAATTTTTTTTTTTATTTCTTTTTTTAGTAAAAGGCGTTCCGCCACATTGCAGGCCTAACACCGTTAACAAATGTCGACCGTCCACTTGCCACGACAGCATTGAATCCCGTCCACTAGTCTTTTTTTATCTTTTTACCTCCTCGAATTAAATTAATTTAACAATAAGCCAAGATCCAACGCCAATTCTTTGCGCACACTAATAATTATTATTTTATTTTAAAAAAAAACATCGATAACCTCCTTGATACTAGGTAATTCAATTTTTTTTATAAGAACTATTAATTATTATTAGATTGAACAATAACAAATCTATCTTTTTAACTTTTTTAAATATACAAAAATTAAATTATTATTAAAAAATATTTAAATTGATATCTAAACACTTTTTTATTTTTAAAATATGATAGAAAGACTAAATTATACTTAAAATAAAATTTAACAAGGTATAAGGATTTTTTGTATTTTCATCTTGGTTTTCTTAAGAATAATATGGCTTTTTAATAAATATAAATTATTATTTAAAAATATTAATTGGCATGTAGAACACCTTTATGCTAGTGAGGTGAAGTGTAAAGAGATGTTCAAAGCCAAACATTGGCTTCCAGAGTAGGATTCAAATTGTCTCGATGGCCTTTTTATTCATAAATAGCATATGTAGTGTATGTACTCTTATTATGACATTAACAATATTTTTCTTTCTCTTTTTTTTTTTATTTTTAAGTCCAAACCACCAAATTTTTACGCAACCTTTTAAATTGTATTGTCTTCATATTAGGTCTATGTTCTTTTTATTATTATTTATCTTATTTAAAATAATTTATAAAATTATTTTTTTTTACAATTTCATTATCCTTCAATGTTTTTCACCTGTTAGATTTGATCTTCATTTAATTTAAAGCAATCTTTCAATTTGATTAATATTTTTTAAACCATTTTCTTAGTAGAATTTATTATTCAATTCCTTCCCTCAGTATTTTATTTTCAAAATCTATCCTTACTTTTTTATTGCTATTTGTTTTACTTTGATAATTTTTTTAAATTGAAATATTTTTTTATTTCATCTTTTAATATTAAATTGGTTGGGAATTTAGCTTTTTTGTTGAATCTAAGTATAGGATTTTATATGTTGTGGGTCTGGAAAATTAATTCTTGTTTAAGAAATTCACCTTGGTTTTCTTCTTTTTTATATATTATATTTTTTTAGTTTCATCATTCATTATTTATTTATTTTTAAAACTTCATCAACAATTCTTTTATAACCCTTCCATGTAGTTTGAAGTTTAATTTAACCCCAGGTCAGTTGAGATCTAATCAAGGCCTAACTAAGAAGAAAATAAAGGAAGAAGAAAGAAAGACATAGATTGTTTAACCGAGTTAGTTCATTGTGGTCGTGTTAATTACTCAGGTCGTAAATATCATGTGTTAACTTAGGTCACTATAATATATTGTAATTTTTTCATTTCATTTCATAATTTTTTTCTTACAATCGAATACTTTGACAGCCTGTTATTTTACATTTAAGCAAGAGTCAGGTAGATGTTAACATGATGACTATGTAAATTGTTTTTTAACAAGTTCACTTTTGTTTGCTAGGTCAAATAAGTCACACCAATTTTCTTTATATTTATTAATGTTTATGGTGGTCAATTAATTTGATATATTACACTAGTCAAGTTTTTTATTATCATTTCAAATATCTTATCACATGAAAAAAAAATAATGCTTACATACTTTTTTATATAATAAGTGGTTTTTTAATCTAGCTCACAGTGAATTGCAAGCACTAAGCTTAGTAAATGACCATACTTACATTGCTAAGCAAACATCATAATGCTTAAATGAAACCCATGTTTTTTTTTCCTTTTATTTTTTTTATTTTTGGATTGCATCTTAGATGTGTGATTTGGAAAATATTTAAGATAAATATGTTTTACAATAATAAATAATTCATCATATCTTGCTACTAACTGAACAATATTATATATATATATAGAATAATGATTTGTATAAAATTATTTCATATTATTATACTTATTTTATTCAATAAAAAAAATATACATTAAATTAGTTTGATTTCAAAAAAAAAATTGTATTCTCAAGTCTCTCCAAGAGAGAGAGGTTATGGTCTTGCTTAAATAGCAAAGGTGTTAAGTTGTTTTTCTAACTTTGACAATAGAGTCATGCTTTAAGAATTTATCGCTCCTGGATGATGAAGACGAGGAACTAGTTTTGGAGGTTGAAGATTCGGTACTAGATTTGCAATCATTTGATTTATGTTTGGTTGGATTATTTCTCATAGATAAAGGGATCAACTATAATGTTATGAAAAATAAGATGGTCAATTTGTGGTATTTTTGGTAAAGGAATGTACATATAGGAACTTAACTCAGATTGATATTTATTTTAATTTTTCCACCATGTGGATATCAATAGAGTTTTAGAAGGGGCTTCTTAGACCTTTGATAACCAACTTTTGTTATTGCATCAATTGAAGGAAGGTAAGGTCCCTGGCCAAATTGAAATCAATCATGTTAAGTTCTGGGTTCAAATACATATATGACCTGCATGTAGATTATATATATGTGGGGATTTGTAAACAACAAAATAGCTTCATTAGTGCATTTATATATTGTGATTTGAATAATGATAATGTTATCAAAAGGATTTTCATACGAATTCAAGTTTCTATTGATATTTGTCAACCTTTAAAGAGATGAAAGAAAATATGCAAGGGTGAAGGGTCTTAGTTTATTATTTGATTCAAAAATGAATGATCACCAACTTTCTATTTCATTTGTGGCATGCTAGGACATGTTAATAGATTTTATAAGAAATTGTTTCATCTATAATAAAGAGAGGTGAAAAGGAATGGGAACCCTCTAACACTATTACTTTCAATTAGGTTCACTCTAGCATTATTGCTTTTAAGACACCAGCTGAAGTCTCGTAGAAGGTGTTGTATCTCCAGCAACCCCAAACTTACACCTTTGTGTACATTTGTTTATTTACATAAGCACGAACACTTACCCCCTTATATATTTGGATGTGTGGTATTTGTTTATTTACATAAGCACGAACACTTACCCCCTTATGTATTTGGATGTGTGGTATTCGTTCATTTATATGAGCACGAACGTAACAAGTTGCAACCTCGGGTATTGAGGTGTGTTTTTATTAGGTATGCTCATCAAAAGAGGTACTGTTATTTTCATCCCCCAACTCAAAAAATGTTTGCCACACTAGATGTGGTTTTTCAAGAAGACTCAATGTATTTTTCTATGTCTTAACTTCAGGGGGAGTATCAGGATAAACTTCAGACTCTAAACTATGAAGTCCATATTTCTATAAATGTTTTACCTTATAACCAAGACGAGAGTACGGTGGATATAGGTATGAATGTGGATCTATACAGAGATACTAATGATGATAATGACTCACAAAGTGGTAATCAAGACTTCTCTTAAACACTTTTGCTTATCCTTTTTAAGCAACCCATTTGATTATATTATAACAATAAAGAAACATGAGATATTGCCCATAAATTAGTTCAACATGATTGTACTAAGTATGTGAAAGTAGATAAATTCTTCATCAAAAAAAAGTTGGATGGAAAAATCATGGAGTTACCAAAAATTCATACCGATGATCAATTGACCTATATCTTAACCAAAACAATTTCAAAGCAAGTGTTCTTAAAGCTTCTGGACAAGTTGGGCATGTGTGATATCCATACACTAACTTGAAGGGGATTGTTGAAATATTATGATTCTTTTCTTCTTTGTTCGATTCTTTCCTTTAGTGGTGCTCATTAACTTACCCTTCTTAGTATAAATATATATATTATATATAATGAAACTTTCATTTATCTATTTCTAAATCTTCTAGGGACTAGTAAAATTATTGACAACAATTTTTTATTAATTTGTTGTTTTACACAAGTGGGTTAAATATAAATATTAATATATTTTTTAATTTTTTTATTAGATTTCTAATTTTTTTAGTTACTTTGTACTTTATTTTTAATTATTAGTACATTGATTACCATCATTTTTCATATGAAATTCATAACAAAATACATATTAATTCATCAAAACTCATTTCAATTCATATTCATATACATATAATATTATACATAAACATATTAATTTAGTAAATCCATAAATTATCATATTATTAAGGAATAAAACTTAAATTAAACAATGAAATAAATAGAAAAAATGAAGGAAACTTACCAAAATATTAAGCATAAAGTATAAAAGGTTACGTAATTAATTAATAGTTTAGAATTTAAAAAAAAATATAGAAGAAAAAGGAGGTATGAACAATAATTCAAAAAAAAAGAAAAACTTGTTAAATTATTATATTAAATTTTTATTATAAAAAATATTAAAAAATAAATTAAGAAGGCAATTGCTCTTTAATTCTCATTGTGGCTCCGCCACTGAACCCATTCAGCCAGAGATATGATTAGAGTTTTTTTGGTTCATTGTTATAGAATGAAACTTAATAAATAAGTTCTTTGTTTTTTAAAAAACAAGATAATTATTTTAAATGATAACTTCAAAGATTGAATTTAAAAAATTGAGAAAGGAAGTAAAATTTATTGATGATTAGATCGATCCAATTGCAAAGAGTGACGTATCTTTGTTTTAAATAGGTAGGAGAGTAATATGTTTTCATTTTTAAACAAGAAGAGAAAAAAGAAGATGATGAAAAGTTACATGAGAGGGATACAACTATTTTAGAGGTATGAACCTAGACAGATGTTCTCACTCAATTCATCCTCACGTCCCTATTCTTTGGGAGTCGTATGCTTCCCTTCAATATATATATATATATATAT